GGATTGTCAGGAAAAGGCCATTCAAAAGTGTTGGGGACTTTCACAAGGAGTGGACTGAGGCTGGAGTCAGTGCATCAAGAGCCACCACACACAGACGGATCCTGGACATGGGCTTCAAATGTCGTATTCCTCTTGCTAAGCTGCTCCTGAACAACAAACGTCTGAAGTGTCTTACCTGGGCTAAAAAAAAACAGACCGAGCCGGAGGAGCAGCGGGGGGGGGGTGTTTTCCCACCCTCGCCGCCTTTTCCAGCCAGCCGCCTGCTTGTGGCGTGCCTCTTTTCCAAGTCGGTGGACTCTTCGCCCTCACTTGGCTGCGGAATAGCTGCAGCAGGAAGGAGGAGGAGGAGGCGGCAGCAGCAGCAGCGGCGGCGGCGGCAGCACAAGCATCAGCGGCGGTGGCGGCGGCACAAGCAGCGGCGGCGGCGGCGGCAGCACAAGCAGCAGCGGCAGCAGCGGCAGAAGCAGCAGCGGTGGCGGGGGCAGAAGCGGTGGCGGCGGCGGCAGGGGCAGAAGCGGCAGCGGCGGCGGAGGCAGCGGCAGAAGCAGCAGCGGCAGAAGCAGCGGCAGCGGCGGCGGCAGCAGAAGCCGGCAGCGGCAACAGGAGGAGGTGGCGGAGTGGGAGTCTTGTGCTGCGGCTGCCTCAGCACGAGAAGCGCTCTGACGGCGCCTGCCTTTTATGTTGCTGCTTGGCGTGGCGCTCGCCTCGCCCCGCCTCGCACCTGCCTCTCCTCCTCCTCCTCGCTGGCTCTTGCAGGAAGGCTGGGGTGGGCACTGGGTCGCATTACGAGGCGACTTGGGCCGCATGCGGGCCGCGGGTTGGACAAGCCTGCCATAGAGAATCTATGGGGCATTGCCAAGAGAAAGATGAGAGACATGAGACCGAACAATGCAGAAGAGCTGAAGGCTGCTATTGAAGCATCCTGGTCTTCCATAACACCTTAGCAGTGCTACAGGCTGATAGCTTCCATGCCATGATGCATTGAGGCAGTAATAGCTGCAAAAGGGGCCCAAACCAAGTACTGAGTACATATGCGTGCTTATACTTTTCAGAGGTTCGATATTGTTCTATGTACAATCCTTTTTTTATTGATTGCATGTAATATTCTATTTTTCTGAGATTGTGGATTTGGGGTTTTCATGAACTGTAAGCCATAATCATCACAATTATGACAAATCACAGCTTGAACTATCTTGCTTTGCATGTAATGACTCTATCTCATATATTAGTTTCACCTTTTAAGTTGCATTACTGAAATAAATGAACTTTTGCACGATATTCTAATTTTTTGAGTTTCACCTGTAGATGGACTCAATCATGCTGGCAATAGCAAACACCAGGTCAAAGAAAGATCATTGTGGAGAAAACTTATTGTGGTTGCTAGAAATAAAAAATGTCTTGATGGCACACAATCAATTACAATAATGAGGGGGAAAATCAAAATACCATAATCATAACTGCAAAAATCTGGATAGCCATGAGTTGGTAGCAGTTGTAGAGTTAAGTCTAACTTTATTGGAGCTCAGATCCAGTTGCCCTACCTTTGGGATTTTATTCTATTCAAAAAGTTACTAGGTTATAGATTCATCTGAATCCACCTGAAAAATACCCACCAATGCTTTCAATCCAAGTTGCATTTAGCTAAATGTGATGGTTATTTAAGAAAATGTCAGCCTTCAAGATTTTCTTCCTTTGCTTTGCATCTTTCGGCTGTCATAAGTAACGGGAGGAGGGGGAAAAAGTATGGGAAGTGAGCTGGAGGTGTTGCAAACTACTACTGTATAAACTGAGGAGGGTGGCGGGGAGCACATTCTTGCTTAGGTTTCTATTTCTTGCTTAGCTTTCTCTTCTCTGCGCAGCTGCGAACCTTTATCAAAGTATGTCAAGGTCAACGAGCAGAAGCCTCATCACCACCTGAAGATGTCCACATGATGACACCCACAACTTTTAATTCGAAGAACCATTTGAACTATTGGGGGTGGGAACATTGCCATCACTTTGTATATGTGATTTATGCGCCTATTTTCTCAGATTCAGAATTCTTTTGTTGCTACCACTTGACTTCCAGTAAAAGATATCTTTTCTCTAATTAAAAGAGTCTAAGTATTTCTTTCTTGGATTTTGAATGGAGCATCAGCTGACAGAAAAGCTACTGGGACTTTTGTCTACATATAACTTTAAGCTGATGTAACAATGAATATTGACATAATACAAAATGAAACTGGAAAGTTAAAGTATTAAAACAAGTAAACAACTACCACATCTACCAATACGATTTTTGTGCTCATAAAATTAGTATTTGTGTGTGTGTGTGTGTGTGTGCGTGTGTGTGTATGTATGTATGTGAGGTATTCAGCAGGTTCTGACCAGTTCTGGAGAACCGGTAGCGGAAATTTTGAGTAGTTCGAAGAACTGCCAAATACCACCTCTCCTCTGACTGGAGATTTTATACTATCCTTTCCCTGCCACACTCATCAAGCCACACCCACAGAACTGGTAGTAAAAAATTTGAATCCCACCTCTGGTATGTATGTATGTATGTATGTATGTACGTACATACATATGTTTAAACACTTCTGGGATCAAGATAATGTCCTCCCTCCTATTGTTTACATCACAACCAGCTTTTGCCTTTGAACTGTGTGATTTTGAAGTTTTGTATTTCTCAAGAGTTGAAGACCTGCCCTTTCATAGGCAAAAAAGCCCCACCTTTCACTTCTTTCCATGATCTTTAATTTTCATTCCTTCTGCTGGTCTTTTCCACACATCAGGAAAAAGAGAAAAGAACTAGGCAGTGTAACAAGCTAAGAAAAATTCCAATTCAGTTTGTCTCCCAACATCAGCTCTTCCTTGTTATGCATTATATGTGGTAGTATCAATGCCACTGGTGTAATGGCATCAGCTAGAATAAGAGTTTCATGTTTTTGGATGCTTTCGCCATTGATAACTTTGGATATAACAGTCCAGAATGTTTGCAAGATGCCAAGTTGCCTACCTAACTAGAGCGACAGTTCTTCTTTCTTCCTCCAAACATGCTGTGCAAAATTCAAATCCTCTAAAAGGCTCATGAGGTAGGTAGGTGAGGGAGATTAGGAAGTCAAGCTCCGTTGCAGATAAAGGATGAAATCCAAGGGATGGTTCTTGTTACTTTTTTACCTGCCAGTGAACTTCACACACCATTTGATTATGTCTGTTTATTTTGGTTATCTTGTGTTTCCTCCCCCCAAATAGATCAGTTGGATCAGGATTATTGATTGGTGATTGATAGTTACTTCTGTGAATTTATGTACCCATGTTGTAATCACAAGGAGCATTTTGTACCAATTGATTACCTCCACAGTGTGTTAAAGCTCTTTGGACATGAGAACAGTAGTGGTAGGCAAAAAGGTAACAAGAACCCAAATAACTGCTCAGTTTCATCAGTTTTAACCATATAACTCCCAACTTTTCTTTTTCTAGTGAAGATAATTGTATTTGTCAGTGCATACATGAATAAAACATATTATGAATTACTTTGCTCCTTTGTTCATACTGTAGCAAAATTTTGCACCTTATTTAACTTACTATAGTTTATTTCATCTAGTTTTTTTAAAATTAAAAATGCCAAACAATAAAAAGAACAAAATCAGTTCTTGATATGTTTTCTATTAATATAACTCACATTAGAAAATATTTTGTGTGAAACGCTTGACATTAATTATTTATCAAATGCAAAGATTCACTCAGACAGCAGTTCTGAGATGTACAATACAGTTAAAGTACATTTATTAAAATAAAGACAGGTTGCAAAATGGAAGGCATATTAGGTGTTGTAGAATGTGCATGTTCATATAGAACAAAAAGCAAAATATATACAATATATCCTGCACCAAAACAAACATACTCAGATGGGCTCCAGATGAATTTAGCTCCAATTGAGTGCTCTGACCCAAATCTTGTTCCAAGAAAACAAACACGAAACAGTGGTAACAGAAAAACCTTTTAATGATTCTTTACGAATTCCGTTCCTTCATGGTTAAAAGGCTGTTTTAAATTAATTATCTCTGATAAGAACGAGCCTTGCCAAGGTAGTGCAAGGCTGCCAAGAACACTAAATAAAGTTACTAAGAAATATTTCAAACACAAAGAATCTCCAAACACCAACCAAGATATTCTGAACATCCAGGAGGCTTGAGTGCAAAAACTTATTTGCTTCCTGCAAAGAACTCCGGTTTTTCAGCTGGCTTTTAGCTCTTGAGGGAGGGCCCATTACCTTGCAGCCTTAGTCCGTTGTCGCCCGTGCTGCTGCAGCTGCTCTTTTCTTCGAGCAGCCCTGTGCGCATGTGCACTGGGCACAAGCTCCTCGGGAACCTCTTCATCACTGCTGCCAGCCTCCACAATCTCCAAAGGCAGCATTCCACTCCCTGATGGTCCTGGCCCCATCCCTGCCTCACACGCAGGTCTGTCATCTGAGTCCTCGCTCTCCGAGACCTCAGCCGTCCGCACCTACTGCTGGTGAACCACAACATTGAGTATAGGCCAGAACTAGGAAATAAATGCAAGGTCAGCAAACAATGTAGAATTATTTTCATTATTATATTCAATATTTATCTTTTAAGTTTTGTATGACTTTAAGATAGTATGGTCTTGATTTTTAGGTCTACATTTATTTTACAGCAATCTACAATATATACAATACACCTTTAATATGACATACAGTGTTTTCAGGCTTTCCTGTTCAAACAGAAGTGCATTACAACATTTTTTTTTTACTCTCCTTCAAACACTTGCAGGAGGAATTAGTAATTAAATCTAACTGCGATATGAAACAGGATGTTTTTCTGTTTCATGTGTTTTCATATATACAAAGGAATATATGCAATCATAAAAACAGCAAACAAAAAATTTCTAGGACAAGGCATTTCTGGTAATGATCTTTGATGTGAATGTGATATAGCTGAGCAAGTTTCTGTGGTGGTTAACTCTTCTGAGTGCTGCTTTAGTTTCATTTTTTCCCCAAGCAGGTTCTTGAGAAAAGGCATTATACATCATCAGAAATAATATTTCCTACAGGATTAGCCTGCCGTGATTATCTCAAAGTCCATTTGTTTTGATAGTGACTTCTATGCACATTTTTTGCTTTGGCTGTAGTATAAAGTAAGTTAAAGTGAATAAGTAAATAGCAGTGCTGACACAGAAGTATCTATTTCCTAGAGCTATCATTAAAAAGCAATTTTGGAAAATGCAGCTGGCTTATATTGCTCAGATACTTTTGACCCAGTAATACTACACTGAAAATGTTCTTGTATCCACTCACTGGGTCATATATCACAGCAGACTGATACTCTCCAAATTCTTTTTTTTTTTGTACATAATTCTATATTACCCAGGAAGGTTGACAAAGAAACTATTTCATGATGGTGACAAGAGTCTGTTTGGAGCATCTATTGGAGTTCTGGTAATTATCTTTGTTGAGTTGAAGCACAAAATACTGCAACAGCTAGAAATAGAATAGAATAGAATTGAATAGAATAGAATAGAATGGAATGGAATGGAATGGAATGGAATAGAATAGAATAGAATAGAATAGAATAGAATAGAATAGAATAGAATAGAATAGAATAGAAT